TGCATTGGATTCCTGACTCTAATTGACACAATACTTTTTTAGTTTCTTAGAATCTGCACTTTATAGACAAATATACATATATAAGCTAGCCACTGTAAAAGTGAAAGATTTGAAAAAGTCGTAACTTATTCATTTTGAATCCTATTTATTTTCTTTTTTTAATTTTCACACATAATACTGAAAAAATTCATTAATTATATTTCCAAATAAAATAATGAGAAATTAAAACACATGTGTTTGTAAAAGTTATATTTGTTTAATATCATTCAGTCTATCAGTGGCCACCTTGTCTTTCAGTGAGACATATACATATATACATACACATACATACACATACTCTCTCTCTCTCTCTGTCTCTCTTTCTCACGCTTTTAAAATTATTCCTATACGATCATATCAGATAAACGACCATGTACAGCGTTGTTTTGCAACTCGTCGTGTTACAAGTGGCTTGGCAATAACCAGTATGCCTGCTATATCATTAGTATGTCTGTATTTTCCAGTTTCTTACTGTTTTTCATAATTTTATGCTTTATCAACTACTAAAAAATTAAATCAAGGAATGTAAAATTCATGAAATTGAAGAAAGTTTATAATACAATGAATAGCACAAACTTTCGTTCATACATTTTACAAAAATCATTCAAATTTCCGAAAACGCAACATTGTCCAGAATCTACAAAAATACTTTAAACAATTATAAATTTAAAAAATACACTTTAACCATTCTAGAAATTTAGCTTTAATGCTTTAAAAATGCATCGATATCTCAGTAGTGTTGAGCAGTAATTTGTAATCGTTAATCAGTCAGTTAATTTTTAGATCAGTAAGTAATTAATATCTATTTTATTACAGTCTGTATACGAATCAAAATAAATACTTATTATATTACATTGCATCCTTGAAAGGTTATATTTGCCAGTTTTATCGTTCCTAATGTTATCGTTCTTAGTAAAATAAAATGTTTATAACTATATTAATGGGCTCAAATGCACAGAAGGAATTGTGATTCAATATTCTTTTGAAAGGTTTTTTCTAATAAAAGTAGAATGAGACACAATAATAAAAAAGGTTGATCTTGAAAATTATGTTCAAGATCAATTTTGTACGAATGTCTTATGAGATTTCATTGAATCAGAAGTATAGCATCACGTTGCGGTGTTTTCTTTTTTTATAAATTAATTTTTGTTAATCTTATCAGTTTAAAATTGAAGTGAGAGTAATGAAAAAAATGACATATTCTGAAAAGATACCTCCACAGATTCAGAAATATTTATAGCACAAGAGATAGTTATCAATACTTCAATTAATTGTTGGATTACTTAAAATTATTGAATAAATTTGATTTGTTGAATTATTAATAAAAAATATAATTTAATAGTTCAGAAAGACTGGAAGAACAGAAACATGTAAAAATTGTGTATGTATTAATGTGTATTATTTTATTTTTACTTATTTAAACAAGTAAGAAAAATTACAGGCACCAGGAATATGGTTTACCTCGAAAATTTACCCGAAATATTAATGTTATATTATAAATAAGTTTGAGTACATGTTTTATTTCGAGACCCGATATTGGATTCGAAATAAAAATATGATTTTTCCGATTTATCGTTTTATGGTTTTGAAGATATTTTCATGCATTTTTATTGTTACGTCTTCGCTCGTCTAACGTCGGTGGAGGGTTAACGATCGCTGTAGTCCTTCCGAGATGTAAATTGGAAGCAACCTTTTTGCCCAACGTCCGGGATCCACGGTGAAATCTGCAGGCTGGAGCATCTCGGAAACATAGTTATTGGCCACGCGCGAAGCTTGTTCCAACGCGGCGCGTTCGCGTGATTGAGCAGTCGTCTCGACATGTAGGTTTGGTAGAAAATACATACGTATAGATGAGATAATTTTATTTTACGTTTAGGATTACGAGTAAATTTTAATTTTACGAGTAAATTTTAATCTACGCGACAGATCGGATATTTTGTATGAGTTGGGATTTCTGTACATTGTATGGGGTTGAGTCCGTGATTTTTAATACTATTAAGGATTCGTAATTCAGGAAGTTTTATAAAACCTTTTAGTACTACAGTGGTAGATTTGAAAAGCATTGTTGTATTTTTCTCTAAGGGCGTCTAAGAGCTTGGCGTGATTTATATTTCCGTGTACATAGATGTTCTGTATGGTATTGCGTCTGTATGTCTAATGTATTACCCTTGAGGAATTCGTTACTTAGATTTGGGTTTTCTTGTTTGATTGTGTGCAAATAAGCTGAACCTATCTTTAATTTGTATAGCTGAGTTTATAGTATCCATATCTTCTGTTTAATTCTGTTCTTTGATAGTGACGTTCAAATCAAAAGCCTAATCCATTAGTAATAAATTGAATTCTATATAGACATGATTAATACGACGGTAATAATGATGCATTAGTCATTATCGGTGAGCATCGGAGAAAGAGAGAGAGAGAGAGAGAGAGACCAACCTCAGTATTTATATGCTATTCTCCTTAAAATCCGACATTAATTTTTGGTACAATACATTGAATTTTACACACTGAATTAAATGAAGGTGGTTGGCTATCAACTGCTGTGAAATATCAGTAAAATTAGTCAATGTTGGACTTTAAATATGAAATGGCTAATACAGCAAAGCTGATTTGCATTCGTAACGCGTGTATAGTTTGTTATTAATTTTAATAAAATGAAATGAAATATAATTTCCTCCTCCCATTCTTTGAAAATTTCATTTCATTCTGATGAATGAAGTCATACCGCACTATATCATTAATAAATATTACATCAACAGTATTAATATTTATTATTATATTTATCATAAATAGGAATATAATAGTAGATCTTTAAACGTTTCTAGGTTTTCAGTATCTTCCGTACCAATTGTTGCATTATGTAGTATTAAGAATGGAAAAATCAGCAGAATGGATATAATAACCAAAAATATATATAAAACACACAAACTAGAATGTTTTTTTTATTATTTAGCAGGATAAAATTTCTATATGAATTCCAATTTTTTATGCTCATAAAAATATATAAATGCATAAATATCCGTAATCAAATAATAAATATTGTATGTATTTTTTTCAACAGTTAATCATATTCAAACGGCTTTATATTCTGTAGAAACATTTTTTTTTCTTGCAAATAAATGAATAAGTAATCGCGAATAATTAGTGGGTAAGTAATTCTTGTTGTTTAGCTCATATTTGTTCAAATTAGTTCAAGATTTTAAATACTATTCACTTTAAAAGATGTTGTGTGTATATGTATATATGTAGTATTATTTAGAGATAATATGTCTGCGTAAACTTTCTTTAAAACAAGCCTGTTCGTTTCCCTTGAAATTGGTTCGTGCCATTCTTCGAAAAATATGGGGGAAATGGCCCTCCGTCGTTTCATTTCCTTCTGGAAATTACGCACGAGCTCCATCGTTATACTTCAATTTGATTACGTATGACATTCTTACAGTCGCATTTTACCGATTAGTCTAGTAAAAGTTATGAAAGTGAGACTTGTTGGCGCCTGGAAAATATTAAAGAGGAAAAAGTGTGCCGGCGGTGGAGAAGAGAGGGGAGGGGGAGTAGAACAAGTAAGCTTATTTTAAGTAAGCGAATTATTAATAATTTTCTAGGCATGCTTGATCGATATAAATATTCATATTTGATATTAGTCATTAAACTATTCCACTGCCTGGAGTGGGATACCATCCTATACCCCACTACCCCAGGATATACATGTAGCAGCTTATTTCATATTTATATTCTTATATTTTTCGTATCATTGGCTGAGTTACGTATTCAAGAAGAGAAAGAAGTATCGAGCGATACTTTGATTCTGGATATATTTCAAAGTCGATTGGTGTCTAGAGGGAACGAGTTAAACTGTAAATAGAAACATTCACCTTATCTTTTGATAAAAAAATTATTCACGATTCTTTTTCAAAAATATTGAAATTGAGATCCAGAATTTCCCTTAGCGAAATAAAGACAAACCGAAAATTTTCTTGCTTCACATGTGTACCTTACTTTTTTTTATAACTATTAACAAAATTATTTATTTGACGCAAACTATTCAATTCTAGTATTATTTACATTTACATTTGAATTCATTTAGCATTTATAATTGATGTAACTTCAGATTTGAAAGAAATAATTCACGAACTGATTAATCGCTTGCGTGACATTCACAAAGACTTCTGGCCATAGAAGTATTCCAACTGGAGTGCGAATTTTCACGAAAATTCGTATTTTCGAGAATTGAATTTAGAAAATAAGAATATTGAGTATTTTACATATTTTCATCATATCATGTACGTTCTGTTGCAATTTTACATCTTCCATTTTCCTATAAATGAGTACACATTTAGAAGAAGAGAAAATATCTGAAAACGGAAAACGTGTCGAAGATGTCGGCCATCATCAGTTTGAAAGTTAATTAATTTTTTATTGATCAGCATTTATTTCAAAAGAAAAACATCATCTTAAGATGTAGAAATAATATTTCAGGGGTTTTTGCTTGCTAAGTGTAGTTTTAATAGATTCCTATCATAGGCCATGGAATTTTAATAAACGATTCACATAAATTTCAATGAGGACACAAAAAGATGTTCTTGAATATAAAAGCTTGAATAGAATTTATGTCAGTCTGCTTTAAAATCAAATTTTTGTTATTTATAAAACTTTTTATAATTATAAAATAATATTTCAGAAATAAAATTAATCATTAAATAATAGTAAAATTAACTCAATTAAAAATATGTGAAAATAACATAGAAAACGCTATCCTAACAAATACCTATCTATATGTTTCTTTTTGTCTTTTTTTTTTTTTTTTTTTGCTTAGCAATTATATACAATGGAAATAAATATCGGAGGAGAGAAAGATTTTTACGACTCGTGATCGACACGTTATGTTGCATCTGGCTCTTTATACTCACAACACTGATTTACATAGTATATCATTAATTATGGAATATAAAAATAAAAATTATTCTATGACAGAAACAAATAATTTATTCGACAAAATCAAAACAGTTTATGTTATTGAATACTACAACAATGCAATCGTGGCTCTGAATTGCATTGCAGTATATTTCAATTTGAATTTTTAATAATATGATATTATATATATTAAACTCCGTAGTGGTTTGTTACTTTCATTTGTGTTATGGGGGATAGATATTTTGTCAAATGAAATATATATGTTGGAATAGAATCTTTTTAAAAACAAAAAAAGATAACTGTTCTATCTAAATCCTCTATTTCTGTCTCTGTTTTTCTCCAATCAGTAAAAAATCAATTAATGAATGCAAATCATTTTGCATTCTCATATTCTTTGTTAGTAATATAAAACACATAGTAATGTCGCAAACACTATGATCTATAGTGTGAGCAATATAATATACATCATAAAGTTTCTTCAACTATTAATGACACAAGTCATCTTATAGATCGTCAGTTTCATAATCAGTTGCAAATTTTCTTTTTCATTAATATTTTATTCATAATTAGACAGATTGCAGTTAATTAGACTACTTTATTCTCACTTTTCTCCAATAGAGATATCTGGGAAAAAATGAGTGTCACAGAAATACAGTGCGGCGAATAATTATAGGTTCAAAGTAATTTCTACAAATTTTCATGAATATAAGAATAATGGAAAGGATGAATAAAATTTATAAATTCCGTTCACAGCATATTGAAAATAAGTTTATACAAATACAGTACAACACTGTGAATAATGTATTTGCAAGAATCATTTTATTGTTAAATGCAAAAAACGCAAAAAATGTATTTTTAGTATAATTAATATAATTGATATAATTAACTGAAATATGTAATAGGTATTAATGAATAATTATACTCTGAATATTTTTTCTTTATTCATGAATTAATAATAATAAATTTAATAGTTAATGAAAAATCAACAGCGTTTTATTATAAATGAGAACCGTATGAATTTTAATAATAATGCAGCTTATAATTCTTCTTTTGTCAAATTTTTCTTTATGTCAAGAAATCTGCGTATATATATAGTGAAAATATATGCAAAAAATATACAAACAATATGCAAAATATTCAGAAAATATGGAAACTATATACTAATATTATGCACGACGTATACATTAATCTTACTTAAAATATTACTTAAAATATACTTAAAATATTGTTATCCTTATATGCCATTATATTATTAAAATATTGTTGTCACTATAAATGAAAATTGTACGAACTTTAATAATTACGCAATCTATTCTTTCAAACGTTGTGTACTCCCCTTGTAGAATTTGAGGCACTTTTAAAAATCTCTCAACTTAGAATATTTTTTTATGTTTGTACTACAATACGATCAAAAGAACATTCAGTAATTATTTTCTCTTTTTTTTATCATTAGACAGGCAGCAGTGAGTTTTTTCTAATCTTTCTCCGAGCAGTAAAGAAATAAAATATATTCCAACATGAACGTCCTACTGCATCCCATGAATCGTGTGCAGGTCACATTGCCTAACTACTCTTATGTGCTGAATTTTGAGAAGAATTTTGTTTATTCAGAGACTCAAGCGTGGATGAAAGATCATTTTCCAAATTGTTTCTACTACTGTGCCATTTACGTTTTCTTAATTTTTTGTGGACGTCGTTATATGTCGAACAGATCAAAACTCGAACTAAGAGGCCTGCTTGCTTTATGGAGCATATCGCTTGCGCTATTATCTATTTTTTGTTTTAGTAAACTGTTATCGGAAATATATCACGTATTAATCCATCATGGGTATTACTATAGTGTTTGTGTACCTAGATAATTTCACTTTTATACCTTGCTCTTTTGAAATAGTATTCTAGTATTATATTAGTCTCAGTATTATTCATTTTGAAATATTTGATATTCAAACAGTTAAAAATATTATATACAAATGAAAACTAAATTTCCAATATTCTTTTATAATAAATTAAATTTTCATGAAGCCTTTATTGATCGTTTTACATTTGTTTAAATTTATACAAATTTACTTACAAAATATTTTTAAATTTATTACAAACTATACCTATAAACTTGTCATTCTTTGAAATTTATTACGTCACTTTGAAGTAACGTAATAAATATTGTGTGTTCATATGTAGAGGGTGTTAAACATACAAAATTTATACGTATAATTTTAAATAATAGAATAATTTAAAATATCACTTATACAGCTAATACATGACTTCAATTGTAAGAAATAATAAATAAAAAATATGTAATATCCAAAATATTACTATATCATTACATTTCCAAAATATATTATATCATTATATCATTTATCATTATATTTATATTATATTTATATCCATTATATATCATTATATTATATTGTATATTATTATTTATATTATATTATATTATTATTATTATATTACATCATCATTTATATTATATTATCAGTTTGGTATCACGGTTATATTTTATTAAATAAAAATTAAAAATAAAAAAGTTTTATTATTGCATTAATCATTCTGATACTGGATCTCTCATTCATTCGTTCTATCCTTTTCTATGATCAAATAGGATTCAAGCCGCATCTGCATTAAGAATTAATATCATCTGTACACAGTAATAAAATTACAATATTTACAAAAAAATATAGAAACTCTATTAATATAATTGTATTATGAGATTATATTTTTGTCACTGTTTCTATTTCAACGACAAGCAGTTCATCAATCGCTATTGCTGTATCTACTTCATTGTCAGTTTTGACTCATCTCATTTGCATCTTCACCCAACTTCAATAATGATGTAACCATTCGACTAATAATCAAAATATATGTGTATTGTTTTTATATGTTCCTCAGGATGATCGACCTAATGAAAGAGAATCAATTGTAGCAGACTATAGTACTTATCTGTCTATAGTTATGGCATTAATGGGTCAAGCCATGAAATCATCCAACCACAATTTTTAACCACTATTTCTACAACTTTCATACCGAGTTTTTGGTTTATGTAGAATTCTTGCTTTAACTTTGATTTACAGCAGTTTTTTCGCTTTATTCGATTTATGAGTGTTTTAAAGGGCTTTAAACTAAATAAACGCAATAACTTGCTTCATATCAGTTGATATGAAGTTTAACAGATTATGCAGTTATATCATGTTGTTGCAGTTATATCATATGAAGTTTAACAGATTATGCAGTTATATCATGTTGATGATATAACTCCAAGCACTTCGTTCTTTTAAACAACGTTCTAAAGGCCCCCACAGACGTTGAAACATGCTGTGATGCATGCATCTACTCCTAGGTTTCATGAAACCTGCATCAGAATCAGCTTGCCTCCACACTACCGATTCTTCAGTTCTTCGTGTGACGCCAACCTTGATATAAACTTAAAATGTTGGATCGTCTTCTAGCTCCAATATTAGTGTCAGCAATATCAGATTTATTATAACTTACAAAAAAAAAATAGAAAGAAATTAAGCACTAAAAAGAAATGGGCGAAAAGATGATTCGATTTCGCGTTATTAAAAGAACTAAAAACGAATTAGCCTTCTGACTATAGAAATTATCTGCGTATAGACGACTGTGCTTTTTACTATCTGTTAAATAAAATTCGTCCAAAGATTAAAAAAAAAAAAAATACAGTCATGAGAGATGCAGTTAGTGCAGAAGAAAGATTATCTGCAACATTAAAATTTTTAGCAAATGGAAAGAGTTACGAAGATTTAAAATTTAGTACTGCAATTTCACCTCAATTATTAAGCAAAATAATATCTGAAGTGTGTACTGCTTTTTACGAGGTTTCTGAAAGGAGAATATTTAAAAGTAAAATTTTTATTTTAAACATTTTTATATACATAAAACATTACATAACATTATAAACATATAAAAAGATACAAACATATAAACAAATAATATAAAAAAATTATAAAAAATTAGATATCTGTATTTGATGAATATTGTGCAGAATTAAATGGATATTGAGGTAGTGCATTATATGAGATATAATGCGCAGGAATGCTTTGATGGTTATTTAATGCTATTGTTGAATTTTCATTTAATTTTTTCAGTTCTCTATAATAAATTGTTTCTGCAATTATCTTTTCGGCGATAATTAATTGTTGTTTGTCTAAACCTCTCAAATCGAATGCGATTTTTTTTCCTATAATATCATCATCCGGTTTCCTCTCAGTTGCATTATAATTTTGAAGTGATTGTATTGCCAAATTTAGAATATCAGTATTTTTAATTTTCCTTTTTTGCGAATTATTATCTGTTGTTTCTAATTGTGTGATTTTTCTATTTTCTTGAATTTCTGTATTTTGTGTAATGTCTTGTATTTTCTAAAACGAAAGATTTAATACATACTAAGGAAAAATATCCAATTCATTTTTTTCTTATCTCGGGTATTGAATTATTTTTTTAGTTTCCCAGAAATAAAGAGATGTGAAGAGTAATTGCTGCAGACTTTAAACAATGATGGAATTTTGATACAATGATTGTGGAGCAATAGATGGCAAACATATTGATATCATCAAACTTGCACATAGTGGATCTTACTATTACAATTATAAAAGAAAATTTAGTGTATTATTTGCCGTTGTCAATGCTAACTGTGAATTTATATTTGTTCATATTGGCATTAACAGACGTATCTCAAATGGAGGAGTTTCACAAAAAACAAAATTTTATGAAAAGTTAATGAATGAATGAATTAAATTTGCCATCGCCAGAAGTACCAAATGGTACTCAATATTCTCTTCCTTTTGTTTTTGTGGGCGATGAAGCGTTTCCGCTTC